GAAGACATCTCCGTGGTCATGTGGCCGGCATGACTAAACACCGAAGGTGCATGGAACGCTGTTACCTTCTCACCAAAGGTGGTCCCTATTTTTCTACTTGCATGTTTACATGCTTTCGAACTGCTAGGTTGGCAGAAGCTGGGATAAGGAATGGGAGCTCACTCCGTTACCTGGCACTAGGGATTCGAACTGCCAACCTTTCTGATCGACAAGCTCAGCGTCTCGGCTACCGCGTCCCTTGTCCACTATACTGAAGTCTTAATAACAACAGAAAGAGCCAGCAGCTGGTCTGGCTCCAAGCTAGCCTCCCCTCCCCTGCCTGGAGCCCACCAGATATGGGGCTCTCTACAGCAGCCAACTTGTCTCTTGCCAGCAAAACCAAAGGTCAGGCTGCTTATAGTTGATGGGGATTGTCATCTGAAATATCTGGAAGTTTAAGGTTACACAAGAGAAGGGGCTTCCTTTTCCTCCCTCGCCCTCCATTCTCCGCCGAGTAAAGAAAACAAAATTTGCTTGGCAGAAGGCAGTCAAAAAGAAAAAAAGAATGGGGAAGTTTGGTCTTTGGTAAGGGCCATACCCCAAAGGGGAAGGTCTCTGCCACTTCCATGCTCCCAAAGGGCCCAGAGAGAAACTGGGCTTTTTCACCTGCTCCTCTTTTTTTTTTCTTTTTTTTTCTTTGCCCACGCCCCGAAAAGGGGCGGGGCCTCGGGATCACTTAGTGCTCGGGGCGGAGCCAGGTTGCCGTAGGAGCTTCTGAGACTGGCCTCCCACGCGCTCACCTGTTGGTCTGTTCGCCGATGAAAAATGGCGGCGATATTTGCCGCCACCGAAGCTGCTCTTTCTCGTTGCCTCCCGGATGAGCTGGAGTGATCTTTCGGCGCTCCTCAATCAAAGCCCGGCTCCCCAACCGCCTTTCCTTGCCCCGCAGGCCTCCGCCATCCGGGTACTTTGGGATTGACGAGAACAAAACAGATTATAGGCTGTCCAGTGGATGGAGTGAGGCCCCAAAAAAAGCTCCGCCCCCTTCCCTGCTACCTCCTCCAACTGGCTCCGGCTCTTTCTCCGTCTCCCATGGCGACGAGATGCAGCAACGGAAGGTCTCCGCTCCGACTCTCGCGCTTCTTCTGGTTGTCAGGGAGACGGGGGCTCACAACCAGCAGCCGAAGTGATGTAGGGAGAATTTGACTTTCTCCACCAATAAATAATGAGCACGTTTGTCTCTATTGTTTGCTACTTCATATTAACATATCTTCCCCCTTGAAATGAAGTACAGCGATTCTCCTGTGGCGGAAAGGGAGATAAATGTTACAAGTGATGGGTGTGTTCAGACAATGCACTTAACTTCTTCAACCCATTTTCTGGGTTTGCACAATATACTGAATAGGTGTATTTTTTTTTAAAGGGGGCAATTGCCCAGAGATGATGATGGTGCAGTCTGTCCACTGAAATGTAATTTAGTATACGAAATTGCATGATTCAGGAAGTAATAGACATCATAGGAAGGGACCTTGGAGGTCTTCTAGTCCAACCTCTTGCTCAAGCAGGCGACCCGATACCATTCCAGACAAGTGGCTGTCCAGTCTCTTCTTAAAAGCCTCCAGGGATGGAGCACCCACAACTTTCAAAGTCAAGCTGTTTCACTGATTTATTTTTCTCACTGCCAAGAAATTTCTCCTTAGTTCTAAGTTGGGTCTTTCCTTGATTAGTTTCCAAACATTGTTTCTTGCCTTTCCTTCTGGAGCTTTGGAAAATAGGTTGATCCCCTATTCTTTGTGGCAGACCTTCAAATATTGGAACACTGCTATCACATTACTCCTAGTCCTTCTTTTCACTAGACTAGACAAAACCAATTCCTGCATTATTTTATTCAGAAGTACAAAAGTGGATAGTTAAAATATATCACCAGTAATTAAATTTAAATGTGGTTGGGATAAACACATGTTCATCAAAAAAGGAGGGGGGCTTACACTATGTATCACTTGGTCTTTTTCTGCATTTTCTGTTTCTATGAACATACAGATATGAACAAGACCTGAATTTTCAAATGGAATGAAAGAATAAAAAATATTTGATGGCAATTAATTTAGCTTCTATTTCAGGGATATTGTTGGAAATACTGTATTGTTAAAAAGAAAATATCTAGAATAAAAAATTTCCTGAAACGGAACCATGGATTTCACAAAGGCTACTTTCATTACAATTCACCTCCCTGGAATAAATTGCAGTTGCTCTTGCGGATTGGCAACAGATTAAAAGACAGAAAGAAGTGGAATTAAGTGGATTTTTTTTTCAAATGGGAGAGAGAGACATAGTAAGATTTCCTCTGCGAATAGTGATAGTACAATGTTTTTGAGCAGTGCATTACTCAAAGTTATCACTTAAATTGTTCAGGGGATACCGTTAGAAAGAAATACTGCAAAAGAATCTTTTCAAACTGGGTAAATAGGCTTCAAAATGACAAATGCAGTTCAATATAAAGAATACAGGTAGTCCTTGACCTACAACTGTTTATTTAGGAACCATTCAAAATTACAATGGCATTGAAAAAAATTACTTATTACTGTTTTTCATGCTTATGACCATTATGGCAATCTCCTGGTCACATGATCAAAATTCAGATGCTTGGCAACTGTCTCATGTTTATGGTGGTGACAGTGTCCCAGGATCATGTAGTCATCTTTTGTGACCTTCTGACAAGCTAAGTCAATGGGGAAGCCAGATTCACTTAACCATGTTACTAACTTAACTGAAGTGATTCACTTAACAACCGTGACAAGAAAGGTCGTGAAATGGGGCAAAACTCATTTAACAGCCATCTCACTTAGCAACAGAAATTTTGTGCTGAATTGTGGTCATAGGTCAAAGGACTACTTGTATCTATTGGCACAAAGAATCCATTTCTACATTAATGGGAAAGGATGGTAACTGATCAGAAATAGATATGACAGCCAAAGAAAGCTGTCAGTAGCATTTTGGATTGCTAGTTCAATGAAAATATCAACCCAGATTGTAGCTCTGTAAAAAAGAAAATAAAAACTAAGCAATTTCCATGCTTGTTATCATCACTAGGAGAGAACCTGAAAATAGAAATGTGTGCTAGGACTGAGATAGCATTGGTCACTCTTGTGGATAGATGACCTTTTTTGAAACCTGGATAGAAGTCCTGCACCTTTTCTGGTCCTTCTAAATCTTTCAGACTTATTTAATGCTAATAACAACAGTAGGTGTCTCAACTGCCTGTAAGGCCTGGGGATTAGCAACACTGCTAGTGCTGAAGGTTATGTATTGAAATTAAATTAACATGGATCAAGCTGTCAGTAGGGAAAAAAAGGCCAGCCTTTCACCTTACACCTGAAAACGGAGTCAGAGCCAGATACTTTTCAGACTATAATGAATTCAGAAAGGTCACCTTAAAAGGGTGTTGAAACATAGGTAAACAATTTGTTCTCACAGGAAAGCCTCTTTATTTTATGTGCCAGACAGATTTATGAGCACACAATTTTTGAAAAAAATAAAAAAGATACTTTGTTCTCGAGTTTTATTTTGGAAAGCTTTATTCTGAAGCTTGTATAAATTTAATTATTAGTACTCTTGTTGCTGTTACTATTGTAATGTTAAATAACCATATTTTAAATATTATTTTTATGAGTTGATTTGGTAGGATAACATTTTTTTAAATGTATGTTTTTATATAACCTCAAATTGCTTTTTCTCCCCTTTAATTCAGAAATCAGACTCAAAAAATTGCCACATTTAAAGCTTTTATTTTGAAAAATAAAATACAAAAGGCTGTTGGATTGTAAACCTTCAAGTTCTTTCTCGCATCTCAGAAACCATTTTTAAATAATTAAAACATAATTTCATAAATCAGCTAAATAGGTAAAAGGGTGTGGTGACAACAGGAACAAGCACCATTTTCCACAAATTAAAAAATGATTGCTCAA